CCAAAAGTTCGGTTCCCTCACCATAGAGTCTCCTCCTAGCGCAGCGTATCCTTTTTCCTCTACCTATCATAACCGAAAGCCCTATCAATTGCGGAGACGACTGGAAAACCCTCCCATTGCCATAGAGTCTTCTCCTGGTGCACTGTGCTTCTCTCCCCCCCCCACCCCCACCGGAAGCTCCTCTCAAAATTGTGGCGCCGACCGGTGACGGAGGCGCAGCAGAGGGAGGAAAGAGCCACATGCGGCTCCAGAGCCGCAGTTTGCTGACCTCTGGCTTAGGTGGCTGCCACCGCCAGCAACTTAAATGCCCCGACTGAAGCAATTAGCCGCACTGGGGGGAGGGGGGGGAATGGCTGCTCAGGTGGCTCCTTCCCCCTCCCTGCCATTGCCAGCAGCTTAAATGCCCTATCACGCTCTCCCTCTCTCATACACACACACAGAGTTTTGAGAGCTCCCGCTCCCCCCTCTCTCTTTCATGTGGCAACGGCAGTTGTGGCGCTTCAGTGACAGGCTGGTGGGATGCTCAGATAAGCCATTGCAGGGCGTTGGGGGGGGGAAGGGAAGCTCCTTACCCCTCCACCGCCTTCCTTCACATTCCCCCCCTCCCAATTTCCTCGCTTTTTGACTGTCGCACCAGTGCGTTCCTCAGCCCCTTGCTAGGTTACGGCAGCAAGTGATGAGAAGTGGCAAAGAATGAAGCGAGGCGGGGGGGGGTGGTGCAGAGATGCCCTACCACCACCCCCACAGCTTACCTGTGGGCCCTTCAGCCAGCCCAAATCCTTGCCCACCCACCCCTTCCCAGGGCAGCCACATCCCTTCACTAACAGCTCCTTCCGCTGCTGCCACGTGCTGAGCAATTAAAATACTCTGTGGGGCTACGATAAAAGAAAATAGCTCAGAGCTTCCAACTTCTCACAAAAAAATAATAATCTCGCGAGGTTGGAAGGTCTGAACTATTGTTTTTTTTTTATCGTAGTCCCAGAGACTAGCTGTTCTGCACGCAGCAATGGAGAACTGGGTCTGGCCGCGCGGGATGGTGTGAGCCAGGCCGAAGTGAGGCGGGCTGGACCCTTACAGCTTCCAGGAGGGCCACGCGGGCCGGATTCAGCCTCATCGTGGGCCAGATTCGGCCCGCGGGCATTGAGTTTGACACCCCTGATCTATTTTTTTTTGAAAAAAANTTTTTTTTTTTTTTTTTTAAAAACCAAATATTTTTCTGGCTTGAAGGATGCACACACAGAAGGATGTGGCATATGCACACTAGGTCAGCCCTACAGCATAGCACCACCGCCACCTCCCAAGCAGAGCATAGGAGGGAAACTCAGCATAGCGCCATCTTAAATAGCTCTTTCTTTAAACCTTCATCGCTCTCCCTCCTGATGTCATTGTGCGCATTTTAAATATTTAAAACTTGGAGCATCTCTGTCAACCGATTTGAGGCGTGACAGAAGAAAAGCCCTGTTAGTAGTATTTCATGAGTCTTATATTGATGTTTTAATTTTTTTTTTTTTTAAAGACAGATCCTACAGCAGAGCGACCTAAAGGGGATTTATTACATTGTGGAACTATTCCACTGGCAGTAAATAGCTTTAGGAATAGGAATCATCCAATCTGCTTTTACAATTTATAATTGAGAAAGTCTTATCTATCAAACCAAGGCAAAGTTCTTGCTCCTTGTGCCCTGTTTATAATTTGTATTATACCCCCTTAATGAAAAGTAGGAACGGAATTATAGTCTCTGCATATTTATTTGGAAATAAGACCCATTTAACTCTGGCAGGGTCCATACACTTAAAGCATGGTTTTTGTGACATTGGGTTCCACATTTTGCTGAACACAACATCAATGGTTTGTTTCACATAACACAACGCACACGCAGAGCACACACCTCAACATGCTGCGCGAACAAGGGGATTGTGAGAAAATACGCGGCACCTGAGTTTTCAAAGCAGATCAGGGTTTAGGGATTCTAATTAGCGTGTTGATTATCCATAAGGCATTAACTTTGCATCTTAATCTTCCAGAAATTAAAAGACAGCTGCATCTCTCTGATTTGATGGCTCAAAGAGCAGCCATGTCTGTGCTGTCACCATAGACTGGGTGGTGTAGAATTTTCTATGAAATCCAGA